TGTAGACAGGATGTACCTCAGCTGAGAGAAATGGACAGGCTAGACCGTTAATAACAGAGGTAGCAAAATGAAGTCTGAGAAATTTTGTTTGGATCATTCCTGTTGAATACAGTGCCTGAGAAGAGCAGCATTTTTGGAATCAAGGAAGTGAGTTTCAGATGGGTCAATGATAATGGTAAAGGACCTGATTTAGGGAGGGTTTTTTTTATGTTTTGTACATAAAAAGTCTGTTTTAGGGCCAATAGATATGTTGAGTAGGAAATAGGATGTATGAGTCTGGAGTTCAGGGTAAAGGTCTGGCTAGCACATGATTATCTGAGTCATCAGGCACACATAGTATTTAAGAAGGGAGACTAGTTGAGATCTTCAAAGTATAATATGTGTGAAGACTTCACAACAGTGGTGGTTACATGGAAGGTCATCAATATTTTATTATCGCTTATTATACTATACAGTAAGGAATTTTAGAGCCTCTTCTCCTTTCTTTTTTTCTGGTACCTTTTACTTCTTTACCTTCTTGAATTGTTCCCCACTGCTGTGTATAGTGAGTGATAGACCAACTGAGTATCTTCCATGATGAATCAGAAGCATCTAGCACCATATCTGGGACCTGGTGGAGATCCTGAACATTTTTTGTTCTCTTTTCTTTCTTTATTTTTACCACCAAATTGACTTCTGAATACTTCTTGACTCTTAGTGTTTTTTAATGTACAAGTATTAACACACCAGAGATATACAAAATTGTCTCATATTTTCCTGCAAATATTTGTCTTTGCTTTGCTTTAACATTCTTCACAATTTTATCTTTTCTTAGACAGATTTAAGTAATGAGTGCTACAAGTTAAAGTCAACTTTGAATTAAGTACCATGGTCCCACTATGATATACTTCTCATAAATATCAAATATGCATTCCTTTGTGTATTATGAAATTAATATGATTTGACCATTTTCTGCTTGACAAGATATTAGATAAGAAGATTCTTTAACATTTCCTAATACAAAAGGATACCTGAGTGAGGATAGCTCTGAGGAGTATGGGTGTTTGGAGAAGTAGGGTTTTTGTTGGAAATAATTTTTGTTGGGAACACCTGATTTAATGAATATCATAGAACAGTTTTCTGATACCATGATTATAAATAGAGGAGAGAGGAACAGGCAGAAAAATGATCTGGAAATAATAAATCGGAGACAATGCCAGGAGTGTCTTCCTTTCATTTTCTTTTTTCTTTTTTTTCCCCTTTTAGAGAAAAAGTTTTAAGAGTTTGAAAATATGGAAATTATATTATCACCATCACAATTGTGATATAAAATGTTTTGATCATACTTTCAAAATTTCTTTGTTTCTACCTAGATTCAATGGTCTCTTCCACCACAGATTCCTGCTGAACATTGGTCTGCTTTTATTTTCTAAATTTTTCTTTTCTAGAATGTCACAAAAATGAAATGATAATGTATATAATAATTAGGGCTCATTTACTTTAGCATAATCTCTTTGACATTTATCTATGTTGTTACATATATCATTAACAGTTTGCTTCTTTTCTTCCTCTAAATTAATTTCATTGGTACATTTTAGGTATACAATATAATGA